TGATATACATATATTTATACGGAGAAACTATTATACGCATGCATGCATGGAGCACGGGCGCACTTACGTTCAGCTTTTATAGGAGTGTGTGTGTGTATGTATATGGGTAATTTATCTAAATGAAACTAAAAGATAATAATTTTCTCAATATAGGGTCAAATGTCTTTAGAAATATTTGCACTAAATAGCACTAAAACCTAAGTCATTTCCTTAAATAGCACTTAAACTCATGTTTTTATTTCTCAATGTAGGACCATTGGTCATTATCTATTAGTCATTATTCAACTAAATGTTCACCATCACTTGGACATTATTTTTCTCACTAGTCATTTTTAAGTCCTATTTAGAGAATAAAAAAGCACAAGTCCTACCTTAGAAAATGACTTATGTTTTAGTCCTATTCAGTGCAAATTATATATATATAGAGAGAGAGATTAGAATTGCGTGCGGAGTTGGTATTTCCAAAATCCAAACTAAACTATCTCACAAATTTAGGAAATAAAAGTAATTGACATGATGTCACCAATGCAACACTATTACTCTTAAAACATTGGTAATGCATGTAACGCCCAGTGGCCTTATTGCATTTTTAACACCCCAGGGGCGTTAAACACCGCCCTTGGGGCTTCATCCGGGTGTTATCTGCATTGTGTTAAACTTATAACGGGAGTTTTGCCTTATCTTCTTTAAATTAAAAAAACTCTTCCTCTAAATACCCACAAAATATTTTCCTCTTCAATTTTTTATTTTTAAAAATAAAACTCACAAGCAAAATCTTTCTTCTTCATTTTTTTTAAAATTAAACACCCACAAAATCTTTTCTTCTATCTTTTTCAAATTAAAAAAAAATTATTCAATTTTTTCATCTTTTTTAACATGAATCTCTTCATTTTTAATGTTCCTTTGTCCGGTCTCGAGTCAAACGGTCAAACGAATATAATTTGCTTTCGAGAGAAGACATAACGAGATCAAAGCTAAATACAATTTGTTTTAAGTTTTTAATTAATGTAATTTTTTAATTAAATGTTCTTTTTTATTGAAGTTAATTATTCTTATTTAATGAATTATTGTCGTTTAAATTTAATGTCGCTTTCTTTTTTTAATTTAATGAATGTAATTTTTTTAAATTATTGTCGTTTCAATTTATTTAAATTTAATGAATGTATTTTTTTTAATTTTTCTTGTTTCAATATAATTAAATAATAAAATAATTAAATTTTATTAATTTAGTTTTAGAAGATGTATTTAAAAATGTAAAAAATGAAGGTTTGAAGCCCTAGTTTGAAGCCCCGGGGCTTCAAACCCGTTTCCACTGAATATGTGAGGTAAGTTAAAGATGACATGGCAGAGAGAAATTTTGAAGCCCCGGTTTGAAGCCCTGGGGCTTCACGGCTATTTCCAGTGCTCTTAGTATCCATAAAAGATTGCCCCACCTTGTTATAAATTTAGTTATATTATTCAGTTATAAATATCAAAGTATATTCAGTTATAAATTATACTCCCTCTGTCCTAAAATATTCTTCCCACTCACTTTTTACCCGGTCAAACTTTAATCACTTTCTTTACCTATTTTCATTAGGTATTTGATAAAATAATATAGTCTTGTCACAACTTGTTTTGTAGAACTTTGGATGTAGTTTTTAAATATATAAATTTTATTTTTTAATTTTACACCTACAATCAAATAAATTGAATTAAAAATAAAGTCGGTCAAAACTCGTAAAATGAACCGGGAAGAACATTATAGGACGGAGGGAGTAATAGTTATAAATATCAAAGTATATTCAGTTATAATGTAAATTTAGTAAAATTAATTTTATTTTAAAATATAGTTTTGAAATATCAATTTTTTATGATATCCAATTATTTTAAACTTCTATTTTTATCATAATTTTATTCCTACTATAACATGGATAAGAGAAACTAAGAAAGTCACTGAAAATTGAATCTCAATCCCTTTTCTATGTCTCTCTTTCTTAACACTACTGCGTAATAAACAATTATTTGAATATGTAAGAAAAAAAATTCATTGACCAAAGTTTCATGATGGACTATAATAAACTTAAATATACCCGTACTAAAAAAAGTAGGTCTTACAAAATCTTTCTTCTTTCTTTTTTTACCTGTCCAAAAAATATTTTTATTTTTATTAAAAAATTATTTTTTATCTCTACTAATTCTTAACCACCTATCACATCACATTTTTCACTGTTAATCTACTCATCACATCTATTTTTACTCATCACATTCAAAAGCATTTTTTGGAAATTCAATGCCAAATATACTCTCTTTGAATCCTTTAAAAGTCAAAACCTAATTAGGCCCACCATACAACCTCCTTTAAATGTATCTCAGGGCCGGCCTCGAAAAATGAAAAAATAAAATTAGTTCAGTCTGAAATTTACATTTTAGACCATAAATGTATTATTTTAGAATACTTATGTTTCAAAATTAATGATGAATTTAAAAATATGAGACTCTAAAATTTTAAAGTCCATATGCAGTTGGTCACTTTGCACACCCTCTAGCCCACCCATGATTTATCTCATCCTTTATATATATACTCCTATGACATATGAATAATGAACAAGGTAGATCATTAGGGAGTAATAACTAAGATCGATGGTGGAGGGTTTTGATAAGGTGGAAATCACTTCGTAATGTTCGTATATACGGAGTATGTTTTTCGTTGGTTTCTACTCTATCATATCACCTCTTTTTTACTCTCTTCGTCCCAAAAAATCTTTCGAAAAAATTGTGTCACTTAAAGTCCGTCTCATTTTTAATAAAAAACTATTTTTACCCCTTACTTTTTTAATACTCTTATCTATCACATCATATCTTTTTTCTAATAATCTAACTATCACATACTACTTTTACCCATTACATGAAGTGTATTTTTGTAAAGTCAATACCAAAATATCTCTCCTTATTTTACTACTTTAGTCAAAATGTCCCAATCTTTTTACGTACAATATTATATTTTAATGAATTCAATTATTTTTCTATTTTATATACGTACACTATTATATTAATCACATACGGAGTATTTTTTTTTAAAAAAAACATTCATTAAATTTTGTGAAATTTAATGCCATAATGAAATAGGAGATGGAGATGGAAGAAGAATAGATCAGATGAGCTAACCAACTAGTGTTGCGTCTAACATGGGCTCCTAACTAAATATCCGGTGATATCATCATATCATATATTCGGAGTAGATACTCCCTCCGTCCCACTGTCTTTGTCCACTTACCTTTTGGCACACCATCCAATGCACTTGTCAAATCCATTTTATCTTGTAATTTGTATATTAAAAAATTATAAATATTATATATTAATAATCTATATGTTAAGACGAATCAAACAAGATCACGTATAACTATTTTTAGGCTTACACATTAGGAGAATTTGATGAGTCAAAGTGCTTAGATGAACAGTTCCAAAAATCAAAATTGGACAAAGACAATGTGACGGAGGTAGTATTCATTATGCATGGAGATCCGTGCAAACATTTTAATTAGCTTTTGGAATTTTATAGGCCATATTGAATTCAAATCTTTTCAAATAAAGTAGAAAGTGATTAATTGATTATTTCCATAAGAAAGTGATTGATTGATAATATAAAATGGCCACCTCTCAAATTTGTTTGTAGTTGTTGAACACTAGCTAGTACATCTAGAGTGCCAATCGGGTCAATCAGATTAGTTCTACATTTGATTTTTTTGAGTTTTGATATCTTTCGGACATATATTATAATTGGTTCGATCAGTTTAATTTCGGTTCGAATTTGATTTGGTTCCATTTAAAGCTTAAAGAAAAATTCAGACTTAATTTCTTTCAACTGATGCTTCACCTTGTTTTTCAGAAATTTTATTACATTTAATTTTTTCAATAACAAAATAGTTGACTCACTTTATTCATCCCAGGCCATATTTTATATGTACAATTTTTGTTCAATTCCTAAATATAATAAATTTAAGGTATGTGATTTTGTAATTTTTTTTAAAAAATGACAATCCATTTTATGAGTGAATTAGGAAGTAATGAAATTAATTCAAATGGTAAAATCAAAGTAAAAATTTAAAAATATAATATGCTTATTGAAAGGCAAACACAACTTCATATTTTATCGGTTTCAGATCTATTCGGATTTAGATTTTACCAGTTTCGGGTATTATCGATTTCATTATGAACATTATATTTGGATCATTTTAACCGGCTGGGTTCAGTGGTCAATGGATTTCAGGGGCCACGGATGTCACTGTCCCATATGTTTGTAAAATTGATGATTCCTACCCCAACTCCAACTCATCTCCCATCTACGTCAATTGCACCCCGCATGTATAGTTGACTTTAAACAATAAAGTTTTGGCCTTAAAGTTAACTAAAATTGCAGGGTGCAATTGACATGTGTGAATTATGAGTTTGGGTTGGGACTAGACATGGAGGTTCATCGGGGAGATATGAATCATCAATTTTACAAGCGGGACATCGTAGGTGTCTGAATCAAGCTTCCATGGCTACTGAAACCCAATAACAACCGAATCGGGCTGCATTTTAACACTACACTTCTTTTGATCCTTCCGTTCGCTGCTGATAAATTGATAAATACTCCAAATGTTCAAATCATTTTCGATTTATTTTTTCTAAAGTCAAAAGAGCATTGCAGTCATTTTAAATACTCCCTTCGTCTCTAAATAGATTACAAATTGCGGGTTACGAAGTAAAAATTTTTACTTTTTGGAATCATTTTATTTACAAATTGATATATCAATAAAATATAAAATACATATTAAAAATTACGTCAAAAGTTCTACAAAATAAGAGGTGATAAGAATATTTTATTTTATTAAATACTTAATGAAATCACGTAAATAAACAAAAATTATCGAGATGAGAGAAAAAAATTTGTACTACGTAATTTATTTAAGGATGAATGGAGTAAAACATTATTTCAGATTATTGACCGTCAACATGTATTGTCGCGAATAGCGGCAATATATTGCTTGGGCCAATCAAATAGCCCAATTGTCGTTACAGATAATCGGTAAGGGCTAGCCCAATACCAAATCCGTCGACTTTCACAGTGTTCTTCCGGGTTCCAAGTCAGATTAGTGTCTGATCGGAAATTCTTCACTGCAACTTCCCGAGTCCTAAATCGGCCACTCTCCGCCGCCGACAATGGCCGATCACGATCACAACCACCACCACCACCGCCCGCACCGCCTGTCTCTCCCGCAGCGCACCGCCGTTCCGGCCACTACTCTTAGAACCCCTCTCTTTCCTCCTTCAACACCCACTCCCACGCCATCGAAAGCTCGCGCCTCTGCTCTTCTTCCCCTGAAATCATCTTCTCACAGCACCAAGACTTCATCCCTCTCCTTCCTATTCATTCTCCTCTTCTCCCTCCGCTCTCTGTACTCTCTCCTCCCTTTCCTCCGCTCGTCTCCGTCGTCTTTTTCTATCTTCCCCTTTTCTTTCCTCGTCTCCCTCTTCTCTTTTGTTCTCACCTTACTCTTTACTCTCTTCGCCTACCCTTCTTCTTCATCATCTTCATCTTCTTATTCCAGAGACCCTTTTCGCCAAAAGCAACGCCTGCCTATCTTCTCCCTCACCTCTATGACCCAATCTCAACATATTCATCTTTTAGCTAAGTCAATTCTACAAGCTGTGGTCTTCCTTCTCAGATTCCAGGCTCTCAGATATTGCGGCGCCGCAGCAATGATTCTGGCAGAACTGTCCGGCAATGCGGCTGCTCGGTGCATCGCATGTGGAAGAAAAAATCTAAACTTTGGTGATTCGGGCAACCTTGGATCATCTAGAATCGGTGGGTTTATAGCTATGTTCTTTGGGTTGTTTTTTTTATCTGTGAGTTGGGACAGAATTGAATGCTTCCCTCTGTCGTCTGTGAATATTAATAAGTTGGGAATTTCAGCTTTTGCTAGTGGAAATTGTGTTAGGGTTTGGCCTATGTTGCTTCCCTTTTTGTCTGGGTTTTTGGGGTGCTACGATCGGATTACAATGAACCCCACAACTTTAAGGGAAATTGGGCAGAAGCGGGTTCGGTTGATTTCATTGCTGTACACTACAGTTTTGCTTTTCATGCCTGCTGCTGTGAGTATGGTTGTCTTCGAAGCAGAGGGCGAAAATGTATCTTTATCAAATCTTGGCTGGCCCTTGGTGAATACAGTACTGTTTGGTGTGCTTTTGAGTGAGAACTACACAGATGACAAACCATTTCCATCAAAAGATTTTCAGAGAGAGTATATAGTCACTTATGTGTGTACACTTATCTTGGAACTGTTTTATTTTCCTGAGCTTTCACTCTGGGGACTGTTGATTTGTGGCTTCTTGCTCTGGATTGCCGTCAGAAATTTAGATCCTTCTAATCATCTTGAGTTAGGGTTTGAATCACCCGAGTCGTTGAATGCTTCCGTTATGAACCCACTTCGCCACATCTTGAGGGAAAGGAAGTCCCGAAAGATTGCTCTTTTTCTCTTGATCAATACAATGTACATGGTTGTTGAGTTTGTTGTAGGGTTTATGAGTAATAGTCTTGGTTTGATATCAGATGCTTGCCACATGTTGTTTGACTGTGCTGCCCTTGCTATTGGATTGTATGCGTCATACATATCCCGTTTGCCAGCTAATGCCCAGTTTAACTATGGCCGTGGGAGGTTTGAGGTTCTCTCTGGGTATGTTAATGCTGTTTTCCTGGTACTCGTTGGAGCTTTGATTGTTCTCGAATCGTTTGAGAGGATTTTAGACCCTCAGGAGATCTCTACTAACAGTCTGTTGTCTGTGTCTGTTGGAGGGCTCGTTGTTAACATTGTAGGCTTGATTTTCTTTCATGAGGAACATCATCACGCTCATGGTGGGTCCGCTTCATGTGGACACTCACACTCCCACCATCATTCACATGATCATAAGAAAGAACACATTACTGTTGTCCATGACTGTCATGACGACTCATGTTCTAGTCCCCATGGTGGGCCCGCTTCATGTGCACAACCACATTCCCATCATCATTCACATGATCACAAGGAAGAACATGTTACCGTTGTACATGACTGCCATGAGGGCTCTTGCTCTCGCTCGCATAGCCATGAAAACGATGATTTAGGGTATGTTTGGATCTCAGAATATGTTACGGAAAGGAATGATGTTGCTAAGAAAGTTTATTTTCTTATGTGTGGTTTTATCTTACCAATTGGGGGGATAAATGAGCCATTTTTTTGACAATATTTTGGCTCTTGGTAAATAGGATGGCTTAAATCAAAATGACACATTAAACTTCCCCTACTTCTTAGATTCTATGAAGTTTAGGGTAGTAAATGCATAGGTGTAACAGAGACTCTGTTTTTATTATGAGTAATTATACCCACCCATAACACCAAGGTTGAGACCACCATGGCTGACAGACAGACAAAGACAGTCACATACATGATTGTCTATGCATGTCTGTTAGAGATTGGTGGTGTCAAACCGGATGTAATGAGTAGTGTCACTGTAACATGACTTATTTTAGTAATAGTTGTAAGAAGGTGTACGTCACGACTCCTATGGACTCGGGATTATACTAGGTTTGTTGTTGATTGGTTTTAACTTGGAAAAAAGAGAGAATGAAATAAGTTTGAACAAATATCTAAAAATAGATTTTTTGACGTTTTGAGTCTATCTTTTAGCTTCCCCTTATAATATTTTCTACTAAGTTTCCTTCATGTTTTCTTTCCCTAGTAATTTCGAGACTCCTGACAGACCCTTAAAGAGTGGTGAAAAAGAGAACCACCACCACCATCACAACCACCACCACATTGACCATAACATGGAAGGCATCTTTCTGCACGTGCTAGCCGACACGATGGGAAGTGTGGGGGTGGTGATTTCAACACTGCTGATCAAATACAAAGGGTGGCTTGTTTCAGATCCAGCCTGCTCGATCTTCATATCTGTACTGATAGTATCCTCAGTCATCCCCCTGCTCAGAAACTCTGCAGAAATCCTGCTGCAAAGAGTTCCCAGAGGCCACGAACGCGACCTGAAAGAAGCCACAAGCAATATCAGGAAGATGGAAGGTGTGTTTGACATTCAGAGCCTGCATGTTTGGAGCTTCACAAACACAGAAGTTGTTGGCACTGTTCACCTCCGCGTCTCAACTGGCACCGACAAGATTGCTGCAAAGAACAAAGTAGCGGATTTGTTGCGCGATGCTGGCGTGAAGGACTTGACTATCCAGGTGGAATGCGTCAAGGGTAGCTAACAGAATTGGATCTTGACAAAATTTCATAGTGTTCGCTTATAGGCACGCGGATGAAAGTGTAAGTAGACAGACACTTCAGGCAAATAGAATATGTGTTCTTGCATATTTTTTTGTAATCAAATGTGTAATGCATTGTTTCCCACTATTTTTGAACATAAGATTAGCTTGGTACATCAAGGAAATGAAGAAGTTTCATCTGTTCCATGGTCTTTTACCAGTAGCATTGGAGATGGTGGGAGTGAGTGCCAGGTTTTGAGGAACTTCAAGACTCATCATGTTTGGTTGAAGACTAAGTGCAAAGCTTCCTTGATAAACTCATATTTTCACTTTTTTATATTGCAGGTTTATTTTTTTGAGTTAATGAAAAAAAATCAACAACTCCAGCTTGTTTCTAATCATAAAATGTTTGAATTCAGTGATTTATATCATAAAGAGTAATTATTTTTTACTTAGGTCATGTCCTCTTCAATTTATTCTTTTTACTTACGGAGTATTATTTTTTCTTATTGGAATCCGATAAGACCAGAAACAATTTTTAAAATAACTACATTCAGATGAGATCAGAACTTATTTCAATTAGATCAAAACCATTCAGATCAGGTGAAGAGAACATGACCTTTAAGTGTAAATATTACTCTGTACGGAGTAATTAAAAAAGATCCATCCCGGAGTACAGTTTAATTAAAAGAAACTTTGATTATCAATTAAATAAAGATTATATCAAAGTAAAAAAATTCATACAAATTGAATGTGATTTACGATTAAAATCATATCCCGGAGTACAGTTTAATTTGAAAAAAGAAATACGAAAAAAGGGTGAAAAACTGAAAATAGTCGCGCATACCCCCGCTGGCGGGGCGGGAGGATTTTACAATTTACAGTTTTACGGGGACGGGCTATGTAGGATCCGAATCCGAATTTTGAACCTCCAGGAGCCCGCCACCGGAATGCCCTCTCCTCTCTCCCGTCGCCTCCGCCCAATTCCTCCGTCTTTCCCCCCGATTCCGTTCCGCAGAAGTTCGGATTGAGACGCAGAACTCAAGCTTACAGCGAGGAATGTCATCCTCACTCAACAGCGATTCACAATCTCAAAACCCTACCACCAGCTTGTACAGCCGCAAGGAGAAATCTCTCGGCGTTCTTTGCTCCAAGTATCTCTCTAACTCTCCAGTTTTTGTTTCATGTTGCAGTATGTATGAACATGCGCGATTCGCCGCTAGAAATTGTTACTGGACTGATAAAAATTGTTTTCCTCAGTTTCCTGAGGCTGTACAACCGAGACGGCGTGGATTGCATTGGATTGGATCATGCGGCGGATCAATTAGGTCTTTGCTCTATCCGATTCTTGTATTATGCTGTTTAATTTCTGTGTTATCTCTTGATTCTCTTCAACTCTGCACAGGAAATCTATGGTTAACAGGGTTTACATATGCTTTTTCAATTGTGATTTGTGGGTGTAGGTGTTGAAAGACGCCGAATCTACGATATTGTTAACATTCTCGAAAGTGTTGGGGTATTTCTCTTTGACATTACATAAAAAAATAAGTTTCGCTTTGTGGAATTGCAAGCTAATTGTGACATTCTCTCTAGTTGCTGTCCAGAAGAGCTAAAAATCAGTATACATGGAAGGGTTTCACTGCAGTTCCTCCGACTCTGGATGCACTTAAGGTTCTTGTAGTAGTAATTTTTTCTTGTGGGTGAGTGATGATGGGATTAACTTATGTTGCTCCATCTTTTCATTCATTTGCAGGAGGAAGGTTTGAGAGAAAAACTCGGTTGCCAAAAGATTGCTAGTGTATGTGGCTTGCAGCTGAATTTTGCTCTCCTTTCAGCTTCCATTATTTTGTTGTGTCTTAATAGTGTTCCTTGTGTAATACCTTGCAAATTGATAAGCATGTTTTCTTTATCTAGGTTTCAAGGGAAAATAATTACCAACAGACTTTAAACGCAAGCATCACACAAGATAACACACATGAATTGGTTAAAGGAGGTTACTGGCTTCTTTTCCTTGAACAAGTCACAATTATTGTCATTGATTAAAATCATAAGAACTTTGGAAAGTCTAATGTCATGCTTGGTTTTTGTGCCCTTCTCTGGAATAAGATTAGTTTGTAATCTTTCACGAGTTTTGGGAAAAGCAAGAGTGAACTTAGATTGTGTACTTTCTCACACGGATATATTAATTTGTAATATTTCATGCTTGATCGTATAGACAACAGGAAGGAAAAATCGTTGGCACTTCTCACACAGAACTTTGTGAAGCTTTTTCTTTGCTCCAATGTAAGTGGACCAGCCATGGTTACAACAGTGTCTTAAACTTTCCTATTTTTAAGTTGCTTATTCAAGTATGCTTAATACTTCTTTATTTCCCTTAGGTAGAATTCATATCGCTTGACAGTGCTGCATCAGCTTTGCTTGGTAATATGCATGATCCAACTGCCATGAGAAGTAATTCCCTTTCTCTTTTGGCGCTCTTAGATATTTAGATGGTTGGAAAATGTGGGGAAATACAGGAGGAAATATAGGAAAATGAAAGGGAACAAAAATGAAGGGGAAATAGGGGGAGAAAATTATCTTGCTGCTCCATCATTATCAAATAACTTCTTATGGAGAATGGGAAAAAACCAGATACACCAGAGAGTAGATTAATTACTCCTTCCATCCCACAAAACCTTTCTCCTTTCTTTTTTCATCCGTCCCAAAAAACTTTTCTCATTTCTATAAAAAAGTCACTTTTACCCCTACTAATTCTTAACCTACCTATCACATCACACTTTTTCACTACTAATCTATCCATCACATCTACTTTTACCTATCACATCCAAGGACATTTTTAAAAAGTAACACCAAAATACACTCCTCTTAAATCCCTTAAAAATCAAAACATGAAATGTTTTGTGGAACGGAGGGAGTAGTACTTTCTCGACATACATACTATGCTTGTTCTAGCTCTTCTAAGTTCTATTTCTCTCTAAGGGCATGGCAATTTTTATTTCATTTTCTTTCCTTTTATTTCCACAAATTCCAATTTCCAAGTAAGGATTACTTTTTTCCCTACTCCCTCTGTCAAATCTTGATAGAATACAAAACTTAGGAGATATGATTTATTTGCATTGGAACTTGTGTATTTACTATTTTTGTTGGGACATTCAATACATAATTTCAATGCTACATTACATATGAATATGAAGCCATTCCAAAATGAATTTGGCTAAAAGATTGGCACTTTTACAAGGACAGATGTAGTATTTATATTAAAAGTCAAAAGGCCATGCAATTGCATTCTTAATTTCTACTGACATTTTCCCTATATAATCTGCAGCAAAGGTTAGGCGCCTGTATGACATTGCAAATGTATTTGCATCCATGAACCTCATTGAGAAGGTTGGTTACGATGCACAATTTTAGTCTTTGAAGATAAGTATGAAGATATTTTTTTTATTATTTTTGATGACTTGTGTAACTTTTCAGATTCGTCACCCAGAAAGTGGAAAACCAGCATTCCGATGGATAGGACAAGTAGGAAATCCCGGGAGTGGATCTAGTAGTGTGGCCAACGGGAATGGTTTAAAGAGGGCATTTGGGGCGGATATTACAAACACCATGTCAAAGAGACACAAAGCTGATTCCTCAGCAGATGTGAAGCCATGTGACTATGGGCCTCAAGCAAAACAGGGTTACTTTAAGGATGAAAACAGTAAAGTGTCGCCTGAGCGGCATAAACAGGTTACTAAGGATTTTGAGTTTGGTCCTTTCAGTCCCATTAGTGTACCAAGAGAAGTTCTTGTAAACATAAGTGGTGGTGGGCATATTCACAACTGGGAGAACCTGGCTTCTACATATCGCCCTCGGTATTGCAACAAAGGTAATCTCTAGAATTTGATATTTAGATTGTGAATGACTTTCCTTAACCAACTATAGACTGCATGCTATCAATTTCATAAGATCAGTATAACTTGATTAACTTCAAAGTTTGTAACAGCTGTTTGCAGTCTGTTCTAGTGTTATACTCCGTACTCCATTACTTTCATGATCAAAACGGCACTGTTGATTGGCTTTTTAAAATTGTACTCCCTCCTCCGCCCCAAACTGATTCTTGTTTGAGCAAAACAAAAAACAGTTTTCCCATAAATAATTATCATTTTAAAATTCATGTATGTTTTTACTAAACTTCCAAATATGCCCATATTAACTCTTCTTACAGTAAGTGCTTTTGTACCATGAGAAGTCAGAAAAAGCATTTAATTCTAAACTGGAATATGGATTTAAGGGTCATTGCACAATGCATCTTAATGTGTGCACTATTCTCAACCATCAATCATTTTTGGACGGAGGGTGTATGTGTTCTCTTACTTATCATTGTGCAAACAACTTCCGTATCACTGAGTTGAAAAAAAACGTGTTTTGTTGATCAATGTCACAGCTGCAAGTGATCTATTTGGTCATTACGTTGAGGCGTGGAATTCTTGGTATGTTGCAGCTGATGAGAATAAGCATGACCAAATCCGTCCTGGCCTGCCTTGATTCATTCATCTCCTCCTGTCAACTGCAGTTGTACGATCATCAGCACAGAGTTTCCCATTGTATTCTTTTCATCCACACTCGGTCTGTTTGTTTTGTTTCTTGATGTATCTCACATCTCAAGTACACTATCTTCCTTTGTATTTTCATCAATGATAAGTTTTTGTTCAATGACAGAGTTAACAAAGTTGGTCATCTTATCCTTTTACTTGGCAGTCTTCAACTAGACTTGCAGGTTATAAATGTATTAATGAGCATGCCAAATGCCGTGTGAGGGGCTTGAGGGTAAATATAGAATTTCAATGCATAAGCAGAAAGTTCTTGCAGGACAACATTAAAGAGAAAGCTTCAAGTTAAAAGGTTTATCTCTAGACTCTAGAGTGCTTGTATGAAAAAAGGTTTTATATATTGAAAGGTAAGTTATACACAGTTGTGGTTAGGAAAACATTGTGTTGGTCAGTTAAGCGCGTTCAGGTTTAGAAGATGAAAGTGCAGATATTTGAGTGTTGATGTGGATATATGAGCATACGATGCAAAAGATGATTACAAATTGTTCAGGTTTAGAAGATGAAAGTGCAGATATTTGAGTGTTGATGTGGATATATGAGCATACGATGCAAAAGATGATTACAAATTACATTCTATGGGACATGGTCAGAGTTGTCTCCACGGCAAAGAAAATGGTGGAAGCGAGGTTAAGATGAGGTTCGATCAAATAGAGAGGAAATGTGATAATGCACTAGTAAGAAGGTGTGAGAGTTGAGCAAGCCTTTGCCAACTTTGATAGGAAGCAAATAGAGCAGAGAGCTTGTTGTAGTCGGTTCTAAAGGGAGAACCTTTCTATATCCCAGCGTCCTTGCACAGAGCCCTGCTTCCAGGGCTCCCCGTTCCTACCGTCCAAAACAGGCCTGTGGAGTATAGCCAAGTGGTAAGGCATCGGTTTTTGGTACCGGCATGCAAAGGTTCGAAGGACTCCGTACCTCTTCAAATGAGCTGAACATAGTTCAACGAATCTTCAGAGCGACTTCGTACTCCTTCGAGGGACTCCCTTTGGTCGAATAGATTGAAACGAAGTGAGTTTTGATTCATACCGGTGGAAGTACGACAAAGAAGAATAGATTGGAGATTACATAGTATTAGACATAGCTAGAGTTAATACTGATGGAGGACATAGTTTTAGACAGGAAACTTTGGAATAAATTAGGTTGGAGGATAATATAATGTTAGGGTCTTTTTGGTTTTAGAGGTTAGAGCTTGTCCTACATCTCAATCTTGTGTGCTTAGTAGTTTTATGGCTTGCGTGGTTGTTTAGAGCATCTCCAATGGCGTAGCTTACTGATTTGTTAGTTATCGATTGCCATTTTAAAATTTTCAAAGTTGAAAAAATATTACAGTATAAGAAAAGGAACCAAACTCAAGATTGCCCAACCCAAAACAGAAGTGACCATATGCAATTCGGTTTATAGTTCAGAGGTTAGGCCTTCAAAGTGACTCCCATACTACTCCCATCTCCGAGATCAATGACAGAATTAACAAACGCTACATAAGGGTACGGAGAGAATACACATCAAGATGCAATATACTCAATATGTCTCAACAACTTGTATTTATTCAAACATTTCAATCACACTTGCTTATAAGTTCAATTAGTTCCATAAGAATTGCATCTTACATCCATTTAGAAACAGTGCTAACCGGCAAGGTTAGAAAAATAGAAGTTGCGAATGCAACCAACACAATGGGGGTTCATAATTCATAATGCGACTGAAATATTTCATTCAGGGTCGGTGAAGAAGCCATTGATGGATGGCATGATCTCCGGAGACCTGTTGCGAACAAACTTTCTGACAGCATGTTGAGCATATTTCTCTCCTTCTGTGAAATTCTCCAGTATGCCAGCAGTGCGGTTTTCCTTGGTCACCCTACACATCGCAAAACGAGTAGGAAACAGTCACTTTCTTTCACCTAGCAGGGAACTTTTAAAAAGCATAAATGCATTGAAAAAATCTAAGTGGGAATGGGATGACTGAAAAAAGGGCACTTATGAGGAATGTAAAGGACTTCCATACTCCAGCCCCCAATATCCAAATTGGGGTTGAATGTAAAGAGATGAAAACAAAACTTTGTAAAGACTAAAATGTTCTTCAGTTTTAATGATAACCACAACCAGGGGTATAATAATCCATATACATATAAGTTTGCCCTCAATTTCCTTTATAGTTGAAACAAGAAACATTTATAATCCTTCTCCTTTATAAAATTTATCTAATCCAAACAAATCATTATCCCTTCGCTCATCTCTATAAGTTGCATCCCATCCCTTCCTCTCCTTAAGACAATAGTGTTTAGACAAAGTACATTTGCAAAACCTTTGCTATCAATTTTAGCACCATAAAATATTATGGAGTACAATCGAGGAGATAACACTGCGTTCAATTTTTTTTAATAAAAATTATTGATAAGCAGGAAGAAAAGCTGACTGTACATACATCTGGGTGTACATATATCCAATGACATATTTATAACTGTTTAAAATTGCTCGTTGTTCATCTAAAAATATTCATTTCCATTGATATTTTTGTGTTTATGCTTTTCTATGTTGTTTTTTCTTCCAAAGAACGATCTTTTACAGATTCTTTATTCCTCTATGCATGATTATGATGGCACATTCAATGTATTATGTACATATACTTGTTTGAATGCTATAATCTCTATTTTGATGTACAAATTGGATTAAATGTAGCTTATCCTGCCTAACAAAATAAGGCGCACAGATATCATAACACAAAAAGATGAAACGATCTATATGATACACCACAATTAAATCTATTTAAAAATCTACAGTTCCAGAATCGCAAATACAGATAAAGGCAATAGAAAGGTATGAATAGCAAATACTCCATTTCCTAGCCCAGTTAAATTACATGGGGACTATACCTGACTTCAGGGTTAGTGGAGATGTTCCGAATCAATTGCATCCCACAGATCCCAACGGCCACACCTACGGCGGCGAAGAGAGGGTAAACCTGCGAGAACACACGCGAGTATCATTCAGATCTAACAGAACATGAGAAATCTCAACGATTCCGGAGATACGGGATGAAGAAAGTTATAGGGGACGGCGGAAGAAGGGGGAAATCGGGACGAACCTCGGGCCGCAGCCATCGGTTGACGGCGGCGGGAGCCATTGAGATGCGTGGATCAGCGAAGGAAGAGAGGATCGCGTGGTTTTGAAGTTTGAACGCACAAATGATCTGAAGAATCGTTGATTTCGACCCACTTGAAAAATCCCCCCCCCCAACCCCAATAAATAGTACCCCTGTTTGACTTGGGTGAATTTCGAGATAGAAAAAAAAAGAACGAAAGAAACCCCGACCCAGGCCCACGCTTTTCCCACCCCGGTGCCCTCAGACTCTCGGGATGGTAGGTTCGGTAGAATGCACATCAACTGTTTACTTGCTGATCTCGCTTGCGAGAGAGCCAATTTCATAGCTTTTGTTAATTATCTGAACACTTCGACAAATAAAATTTCTTTATTCTTCGACAGAGATGCCACTCTTTTCGAAACCCACCGAATAATTAATCCATTAAAGAACGTCATTCCTTTTTAACCTTCATCAAACTTAAACGAACAGGACGAACGTCATTCTTTTTAACATCATGAACGCTATATTTTAAAAAAAAAATTGCGAAATTGTCTTGCTTTCTGCAGGACAACCCTTGTCGGACGATTTCTTCTTGATTAGTGACTGTGATTCCTCAGCCATCATGTTCTTTGCCAAGGAGGAAAAACCATCTGCCGTACCGGTTTTATGGACAGCGTGCACTTGCGACTGTCTCTAGCGTGCTTTCAGATGTTGTCATGACGGTCAAGGCTGGCGTAGATGGCGCTATGTTTGTCGAACATAGCAAATACACACGCCTAGCAATTATTCAGGGAGGAAAATAAAAGATCGCGATATCCCGTCTGTGGGTATTGAAGTGTGTATGCCCTCTGGTAGGAAAGTAGAAGCATATTTGAGGTCTCAAAAATCGAAAGCTTGCTCCGATGCCATAAAAGAATAATATTTTGGAAGAATTTCTCTTGTATTTCTGATGGTTACAATATGAACAAGGACTGTATTTATATAAAATCTCACATGGTAAGAATTTTATTTAGAAATAATTACATAAGGAAAGAAATACCAAAGGAAACAGAAATTTACAGGGAAACTACCGTAAACATTAAGGCCCCGTTTGGTACATAGAATTCAAACTATGGAATTGGAATTGAGGACTTCAATTCCAATTTTGGTGTTTGGTAGCACAAAAATTATGTGGATTTGGAATTGATAGCGCAAAAAATGAATTGGAATTGGCAGAATTGAATTCTATGGAATGGAATCCTATGGAATCTCAATTCCAATTCAATTCCAATTCCGTCAATTCTGTATACCAAACGGACTCTAAGAGATCTTGTTTCCTATGACAAGGACTCTTAAGCAAAATTTGAAATTAGCCCTTACGCAATTGTCTTGGCTTATTGAATTAGCAATTTTTATCAACTAGATGTATTAATTACTTATGGAGAGGTGTTTGACAAATTTAACTTTTCCGTAAATAGTTGTAGTAGATAAAATTATTTTTAAGGATATATTCTCATGTGTATATTTTATTCATATTACCTTTGTCTCGATGTATTTATCTAATTCTAACTTTTTCAATTAAAAATTAATAAATATGGACCATTAAGTAATTAAAAATTTGATACATAGTATCCGATTTTGATACAAAAATAATTCTATTGGTTTTATCTTGTAAAATACTTTCAAAATATTATTTTACCTAATCAATATAGTACACCATATAATTTTTATTTAATAACGTGTTGTAACACCTTAATCCGTCGATGTTTGCAGCCCCTTTCAGAATAAAGTATTAACTTGGTAACGTAAAAATTTTAACATTTCAAACTTTATTTCATGATAATAAAATATCATTTCAACATAATCTGAGTTCATAATAATTATGCGGAAGCTTATAAGTTGTTTCAACACAACATAAAAATCTAAATGTTTTAAATATTTATTTGAGCAGGGAAATCACACATCCATCCATCATCGCATTCCCAACTACCTCTAGGATCCACACCATCATTCATTATTCTGTTTACATGTGCGTAGCAAATAAAGTATACAACACGCTTAACGGTTAAGCTAAGTAAGAATATCTATTGTATCAAACACTCATATAAGCAGAATCTCAATTCATAATCAAATAATTTGATATCATGCACATAATATTCATTTCAATTATTCAATATTCATAATGTCAACAATGCTCTCAAACTATTCTTATACCAAGGCCAAATCATAACAATACTCGTAAACTATTCATATTGATCACAAAGCTCTTAAATTATTCTTAGTATAAGACAGAACACAAAATCATGACCTATTCTAAAAGTCTTATAGGTCACGCTCAGAAAACCGAACAACAGAGTATTCATTGTCAGGTGGGTGGTATCTCCATATGAGTTATCTTCTAGTTTGGTTTGTAGATCCCGTACGTACGTTTTTACCTAGACCACCAGACATCATACCCGCAAGGCCCTAACTAATTAAGTCACATGGGGTGTATATTAAAATTCTTCTAGATAGCCTCAGTCATTCATGCTCATCAATTAAATCAAGATATTGTTTTAATCAAGGTTCATTCGTCATAATCAACGATCAATAACAATCATCATTATATTTAATAACAAACAACGGCCTAGCAATGAGTGTTAATGTCCTAGCTTATCGTCATGCATCAAATAAGGTTCTTGAATTTATCAAACATCATATTTAATTTGGAAATGTTATTCATACTGATTTATAATTGAATGGTATCAAAAATAAGAACTCTAAGGTTTCATTTCCGGACACACAAAATTTTGGGTAGTGCAGAATACGTTGTGGCGGTAGTTTGCTATCATCCGGCAGTACCTTGCACTATCACGCTACCGTCCGGCGGTACCTTCCTACCGCAACCGTGTACTAGTTCGAGTGTAATTATTAAAATCTTATTAATTTTCTTTTACAAAATGTGTATTAAACAAATTTAAGAAATAAAGGTTTGAAGCACGAGTTTGAAGCCCTGGGCTTCAAAAGCATTTCTAAAATTCTAGTGAACTGTAAGGTGCGTTAAAAAGGGTTAAAACTAATGTGGGAGAGAGACACGATTTGAATCCCATGTTCGAATCCCAGACTTCAAATGTGTTTCCAATGCCACCATTTGTTGAACACATATTTGAGTACTGTGTCAATATTTTACTCTTACGTAACTGCTTCTCCAATTGTTTGAGAAAAGTCAGAAAACTATCATTGTTGAATGTTGATGGTCGGGTCTGTTTGGAAATAGCATTGGAGATTGATGTTAGCGTTTTGAAAAAGTTATCTACAAGCAGCGTTTAGTGTTAGCATTTTCAAAGTAATCAACATTGTTAAAATTTTATCCAAAACGCTAATGATATTCCTGAATAAGCTCGACTTGATGGTTGAAAGGTGAAACTAATTAAAACACGACCCCTAAAAATAGTATTCCCTTTAATGAGATTACTTGTATTTATTCACTACGTAATATGTTGAAATAATTTTAGCTCAATTTATTTGAAATTTAACATAGAATCATAAAATAAAAATTATGAAATAAATAATTCTTAACTTCGATCAAGATATGACTTTTTTCTCAAAATATTAACAAAATATATTAAAAATAGAAAAGTTTTATGATTTTTTTAAATAATACTCGGAGTAACATAAATCTTAATTTTGAAACTACTTTAAAAAAAAGGAAGAAAAGAAAAAGAAAATCGATAACCGCTCATTGCAATTGCAAGTGGGAAAAACAAAAACAAAAAACAAAAAATGGAAGTATAGGTCGCCACTCGCCACCTAGTTTTAAGCTAAGCCGTTGGTTTCCCATCCACTGAGTGAGGTTTTATCTCTTTTTTTCATACAATAAAATATACGGCGTAGATATAAAACTCTTTGGTGCCAAACATAATCATATCAAACATATTTTTTTTGTGGAAAAATCATTTTAAAATCAAATACATTTGATATTATAATCATATCAGACACACTTTTTCGGGAAAATTATAATAGTTTCAAACACTTTTTTTTTTGAGAAAATTATAATCATATCAAGATAATTACCGGTGAAGAAATTCGTGATTAAATTTACGGGTACGCGTGAATACATTGACTATTGCCAATAATTTTAGCTTTTAGTATTTTCAAAATTGATTGATACTCCCTTCGTCCACAAATAAATTTAGATATATTCCATCGGCAAAAATAATATTCACGCTTGTAAAACGTTTCTCTAAGTTCAAAAGACGAGTCGGGTGCGGTCTCATTAATCCAATCGTCAAAAATAGACAATTGATCGAGAACGTTGATGTCGTTGTTCGAGCCCGCGACACCAAAAAAAGTGTGCCAAAATCACAAATTATTTGAAGCAACAATTTCGAGCATGATAGTAGGCTTGGGATGATTCTCCCGGGAAAACTGACAATGCCATACAATGGGTCAATTTTTCCATTCTCAATGCGTGCAATCAATGCTCCCAAGCATGCCGACAAAGCCGTGTTTAGCGGCATGTCTTGCCTGTAACTGCTGAATGACTCTCGTTGTAGGATTGCGTAAATATCTTTTATGATAACTTCGAATAATAGCTTTAGAAAATTTATAAACACAGAACCTGAAGCTCAGAGCCGACATCTTCAAATATTTGTCGAACATATCAGATGTTATCTCGTACGCCATCTAACGAAGCGCGACAGTGCACTTCTGGACGCTACTAAACCCGTTTCGGCCTCTCGCATCAAAGCGTTAGGTGAACCAAGGCACCCCGCGTTCAACATCGACGAGTATGCATAAAAAAGCGAGGACGACTCATCTGAAAAAAATTACTAAAATCTTTCGGTGTATAAACACGTGGAATATTAAAGTAGTCGTTGAGAAGTGAAGCGTAGGCAGCCGCTCGACCTCGGTTTAAACATTGTCGTTGGGTCCAGCGTCGAGAGGATTCAGCTTCTTCTTTTTCGCCTTGTTGCCACCATTGATAACAGCTCGTGACAAAACAACGAAAAATGAGAGCTCTTTTTTCCTCATCAGGATGAAGATGATCCCATTTTAAAAATATATTTTATAAATATTTATAATAAATAATTAAATATCTGAAAGAATGTTTGATAGAATTATAGAGAGAAGGTAGTGAGAGATGTGTGAGAGATAGGTTTGTTTTGATTAAATTTATAGGTTTTTTTAGAATAAATTGCATAAAAGGTCCCCGGTTATAGGTCGTTTTACATATTTAGTCCCTACATATCAAATTTTACTAATTTAGTCCCCAATTATTATACGGAGTATCATTTTTCACGAATTCTCCTTTGTTAACATTTTTGTTAAGAACGTGGATAAAATTGTATATTCATACTTCTCTCTCTTCTCAATTAAGCTTCCTCCCTCCTCTCGTACTCTTTCCCAAACTCGTCGCTGTGTTTGAAGCTCTAAACCCAAAACTGAAATGATCATTTCTCTCTCAATTGTTAGTCTTCCTGGTGGAACCTAAAATCAAACCAATAAGCTTTATGGATGAGTTTTATCGGTTAGTCTCAAGAAATTGCAAAGAAAATAAACATTAAAACTCATCCATGAAGGTTACTGGTTTTGAATTTGAGTTCTACCAGTTAGACAAACAATTGAGAGAAGAGTGATGATTTCGGTTTTGGGTTCAAAGTTTCAAACTCAGCGACAGGTTTGGAAAAGGAGTGCGGGGGAGGGAGGAAACTTAATTGAGGAGATAAAGGAGTGTGAATTTACAATTTTATTCACGTTATTAACGGAAATGTTAACAAAGGACCATTCGTAGAAATGAATAGAATAATTAGGGACTAAATTAGTAATATTTGATATGTAGGGACTAAATATATAAAATAAACTATAATTAGGGACCTTTTATAGAATTTACTCTTTTTTTAATTTAATTTTTTTGATTAACGGCTAGTTCCGTTTTTGGCAGTTGGGGGAGAGGAGAGACGCGTCAAGCGTTTGATGCTTTGTGGGCTGACACCAACGCCGCCAGGGGCGATGATTAACGCCCAAATAGTGTTAAACGGCGATTAAAGCCGGGGGGGCGTCAGTCCCATTTCCTTTGCCTTGCCAAGCCGTGCGTTCGAGTCCGTGACGCAGTGGTAAATCTGTAATTAAATGCCAATACAGGGGCATCTTCCGAGTCAACCGAATTCACAAGCGAACAAAAACATCAACGTGTCGACGGAGAACATGAGGCGGACTGAGGAGAAGTCGAAGACGGTCGGGAGTCACTAGAGACCGCTCCGCCGCCGTCCTACAACTCTCTCCTTCTGTCCTTCATCCTCATATCTCGACCTTTCAATGGCTTCCATGTCTCGAGCTTTTCTCACATCCACTCTCGCCGAGCTGTCACCCAAGCCCCTCCGGCGGCCACCGCCGCGTCCTCCGTTCCCGCACCACCTCCTCATCCGCCCCCTTCTTCCACCCGCTCCAACCTCCTCTAGGTGGCTCCATTCATCTCCCGCCACCGTCTGCTGCCTCGTGTCCGGAGTAGGCGGCGGGGGCGGAGTCTCCGACGACTTCGTTTCCACCAGAAAGTCCGATTTCAGCCGCGAATTCGCCGCAATCGCCAATATGCTTAAGAGGATTCAGCCTCTTGACACTTCGGTGATTTCTAAAGGCGTTTCTAGCGCTGCCAAGGACTCCATCAAGCAGGCCATAACCACTATGCTAGGGTTGCTGCCATCGGATCAGTTCTCTGTTACAATTCGGGTCTCAAAGAACCCTCTCCATCGCCTAATCGTTTCTTCCATAATTACAGGGTGAGGGTTTCTATTTCTTCCCTAATTCTATCTGCCCATATCTTTAATTTTGCATATTCGCCTCAAAGATGGTAGCTTTGTTATGATTTTTAATAAGAACATGAACTAAAATGACAGTTAATTGTTTTTTTCTGCTGGCAGGTATACCTTGTGGAATGCGGAGTACAGAACGTCGTTGATGAGGAATCTTGAAATTTCAACACACAGTTCAAAGAATTTGAACTCTGGATATGCGAATGGAGAGTCATTGGTAAATGGTGATGAAGTTAGTATTCGGGAAATTCAAAGTGGGGAAGACGGATCCAATGCAGTTGCAGGCATGATGGGTGTCCAAAATCTTGGTGAATTGTCTCCCCTAGCTCGGGATTACATCCAACAATTAGAAATGGAGCTGCTAGAAGTCAAACAGGTGCTAAAGATATAACTCTAGTTGAAAATTTGTACTGAAGTAAATGAGAATATTGGCAGATAGTAGATGATTTGGCCTCTGCTTTTTGCAAACGGCCGCTATAATTTGGCTGCACACAAAGACCGATTCCAGCTTATTTCCACTACCAGTGAAGCTCAAAATTGGATTCTTTTGCAGTCAGCCTTTCAAGACCGGTGATTTGTAGAAGCAATGACAAACACTTCTAGAGAAAAACGACATTAATTGGTTTTCCATAACTGATGGCCTAGTTCAGGTTTTGGAAGCCATTTTTTAAGCTTGGGAGTGACTTGTTTTCACTTCACGATCCATCCAGCTATTCTTTGAATGGTTAGTGCAGTTTAGGATGTGATCGGAGAGCATTATGTTTAGAAATAAGCCGAATAACTAGAAACGTGTTACGTTGTTTGTTGCTGGGCATTGGACTTTGGTGTGCTGCTTATAATTAGGCAAGCTGTCTTGTAATTAGCAATTTGCAAACTCAACTTTATCTGCCTGCCTCTGTTAATATATATTTGTTCTTTGGCAGATGCCAATCCATGCTGCTGTTGCTTCTAAACTATAGCTATATTGCATACATCAAACTAAACACTGTCTGTTGCATCAGGAACTTCATTCTCAGGTGCAGGAAAATATGCAGATGGATTGTGACAAAAAAAGTAGTAACAATGATCTGTTAGAGTACCTGCGCTTGTTGGAACCCGAAATGGTAATGGACCTGTTTTTCTTTCTTTCTTTATTTACTGCAAGTATGAGTTAAGATGCATTTAAGGGCGTGTTTGGTTGGAGGCAAGCAGAGGGAAATGAATCTTATTCCCTCTTCTCATTTGGTTCAAAATATTTTTATCCTGGATCCTAAATTCTGCATCTGCTTGGAAAATTGTGGGTTCCCCATTAAAAAGCATTTGAACCTCCGATCCATTCCAGTCGAAGACACTAAGGTTTTGTGATCTAGGGTCATCAAAATTTCAACATGTGTTTTATGTCAGAACAGGTGATTGAACTTTCAAAGCCATCTTCATGTGAAGTGGAGGAAGTAACCCACGAACTAGCTCAGAACATACTGCAGTTATTTTTCAAAGAAGATATGGAAGCTGAGCCGGGCGAGAGCATATCGTTTGGAGCTTCAACCGAGGATGAATCGCGTGTCACAATAGAAACTTCACGAGATTACTTGGCAAAGCTACTTTTCTGGTCAGTAAACTATATTGCCATGTTTCTTACATCCTTTTTTTAAACATACCCGGATTGATTAGATCTAGAATGAGTTTTGTTTTCAGTTTGTAGTTTTTGCTTGTGCGTTTTTATGTCTTATAGTTTTTGCTTGAGTAGTTTCTTTGTTCGTACTTCTATGGAAACGCTGTCTCTACTTACACCGAAGCCTTGGTTTCTTTCTGTTTCGATTCTTCTTCTTCTTCTTCTTTCTTGTGCAGGTGCATGTTACTTGGCCATCACTTGAGAGGCTTGGAAAACAGATTACATTTGAGTTGTGCAGTTGGATTATTGTGAAAGTAAAGAGAAATGTATGTATATTCTCCTCTCCTCTTTTTCATTGAAAAAAATAAGAAGTATATCCCCATTTTGTTTTTGTTCCATATTTTGTTTGAATATTTAAAATGCAGTTTTGATTATCCCATTTTGCATGGGTTTATAATCACATATAATTACTAAATTAAGTAGCATATAGCATATTATGGTAGCATATATGCTACAAGTGGAATAAAAAAGTTGCAGTATTAGCATAATTAAACACTTGTAGCATATATGCTACCACAACCACAATCCTCCATTTCTTTGTCTTCAACCTCTGCAATTTGTCTTCAACTTCTCTCAAAGGGCTTTCAGAGGGTGTTTGTGAGTGATTAACTTTTGGTTTAAGTGATTTTCACAAAAGCTGAAAGCAGAAGCACCATATACATCTGATTCTCCGTAACTCACTAAGTTTTTCTTTCTATAAGGTCTGTATTTCTTATATGAACCTTAGGTATATTAAAAGTTTACTTTAATATACCATAGTGAAATTGAAGTACAAATGAAATTTCTATGATATTTTTTTTAATATTTATAAGTTAATAATTATTTGCTATCATGTGAAACGAACTTTTTTGTCCATCTTCTAAAATCATTCGTTTTTAATTCCTTACAAAGTTTTTTTTGAACCTCCTTACAAAGTATTTAGTTGTATCTGCCATAAAAAGATCACTACTCCGTAATAGAACAAAAATATTTGTATGAAACATACCATATGTACATTATTAGAAATTTAAAATAAATAGTGTAATATTTCAAAATTGACGTACTGTTTACTAAAATCATTCTTCTTTCATTTTTTTCTTTTTCACTAAAACACTTTTACTAACTTTTATTCTAACCTATCACATCATATTTTTTCACAACATGAAAAGCCATTACATCTTATTTTAAAACATCACATTAAGAACAAAATTGGAAAGACAACTCTAAACAACTCTTCCTTATTTTTGTCTACATAGGAATTATTATCCTAAACGGAGAGAGTATGTGACTATGTCTCTATATACATGATGTGAAGTTTAAATATTATTGAACTGGATGACATAGAACTAAGGTGGTCAATGATACAGACTAATTTCATTGTCTCATACCAATTAAAATAAGGTTTTATATATATATACATATATATATATATATATATATATATATATATATGTATGTATGTATATGTATATGTATATGTATATGTATATATATAAAACAGGGGAGGGGTGGGTGATAATGGTTGGTGTTATTGGTTTAGAGCTTGAGCAGCGGCGAGGGATGTGAGTGCAAGTATTTTTGCATTGGCTTGCGAGTGACCTGCAAGGCAAGCTTTTTTCTTATCTTTTTTTTTGAATTTTTTATTTTGTATAAGAAAACAACTTTGCTTTTTAATAGAGTATGTGTATCTATTTTTGTAAAAAAAATGATTAAAATATTTTTTGATAATTAATATACATAGAAAAAGATTAAAAAGTGTAAAAAATAATGGTTTGCCATTGCATAACATATCACTCCATTCACTTACCACACGCTAACTCAGATATTTTTGATTGGTTCAAATTTTCCACATCAGCGTGTGGCATTTTATTTTTGCCTACGTGCTCTTATCTTAGCAACTTGGGTGTTGTTAAAACAATGTTCACACAGTTTGCAATTATTATGGATCCATTTTGTACCACTCACTAGTAATTAATTACTCCGTATAGTGGAGATTTATTTTCGCAAGTGGTTGGTACAGTAGTGAATAATAATAAAAAATATATGGAATAATTCATGTTCTGTACACCAACAAATAACACTATTTGTTTGTATAATAATAATAATAATAATAATAATAATAATAATAATAATAAATAATAATAATAATAAACTTGTAGAGTGCAATTGAAAGGATGAAGAGTGTGTTCAGGTCGGGCTAGGTGGAGGAGTTTATGAACGGGACATCGGAGCATCCTATTCGTGCAATGTCATAAGAACCGTCCCCTAAAAATTTAGACTATGATGTAACTCGTGATGTAAATATAGAATTACCTACTTGGGGTATCTATATGTTTACTATGACCGACGACGTACACCCTCCGGAGAGAATAACATATTGCTTTTATAAAAAGGGAGGGACCGATCGCCATATATACTATGCTCATGCACGATCTTTATTAATTTCTGTATTTCCATAAAAACAATATGGGTCGTATAGTATACATAAATAATCTCGAGTTAGTTCGCAAAATTTTGATAATCAATCAAATATAAAAATATTAAAAAAAAAGATTATTAAAAAAATTGTTTGCTATTGAACTACATAGTAGTTTTTAAAGCCTGTCTAGTTTATTAAAATCAAAATATTAAGTGTTCTTCCCCTCCCAAAAAGCATACGTTATTTGTTTTTCTCTTTTAGATGTTCCAAGAAGAAATAAGGATGACAATGGGTCAGATTTTTGTCAGATGGAGCTTCACTCTCGTACATCCATCGACTCTATATTCATTATCCGCGCGATCGAACTTTAATCCGCTACATACATCACTATCACCTGAACTATCCATCATCCACGGATGAAACAGCTTGCGCGGTTGAAAACAAGTGATATAAGTAATAATAATGGACATGTGGTACATGATTATTTAAGTGGAATTTGATAGAAGAGTTGAAAAAGGAATTGAATCTTTTGGTAGTGGGAGGGAGAGATTGCACTCTATATAATGGATGAGTGGTGAGCATAAAATTAATGGGATAGCTAATAGCATTGGGAAGGAAATTAATTAAGAATATGACGTTATTCTTCTTCCTCACCCCGTTAATTAGGCATGCTGACAAAGTGGATATAGTGTTGATGATCGGAGGCTTCTTAGCCGCCGTCGGCGAGGGGGTTATCAGTCAGGTCACTCTCCTTATCACCGGCAACTTAGCGAACAATATCGGCGGCGGAACGCCTCCGTCCCCCGGCGCCGGCGGCTCTCTTAACTCTACCCTTATGTCTCAGGTTAAGCTACTCTTTCATAATGTAATACATCTACTTAGACTACCATCTCCAGGTTATGCTCTTTAATTTAGTTAACAATTACTCATTCCATCCCCTAATCAATTATTCTCTGGTTCTAAAAATCTTTTCTGTTTTTACCTTTTTAATCAAACAACAAAACTCTTTGATCATAAATTGTTAAAAAAAATATTTGTGATCAAAAGTCAAAACAGAAAAAAGATGAAATATTGGTATAAAAATAAAAAAGAAACTTGCATATATAAAAAGTATATCAAAAGTTCTACAAAACAAGAGATGACAAGAATATTTTATTTTACCAAATAATCAATGAAAAAGCACAAATAAACAAAAGTTTCTGTGATTTTTAAATAGTGAAGAGTGAGTGTAACTCTTTCTAGGAGGGATCGGAGGGAGTATATAATATTGGTTTCACTATTAAAGTATACACTAATTATAATAGTTTTTAAATTTTATTAATATATATTAGAAAAATTAAGTAATACGAGTACTCAAAAAGTGTGCAATTTAAAAATAATAATTTAAAATAGAATAATATTCTTTTTGCAAAAAAAATAAGTTTTTCATAAAAAATAATAAAATATTGCGTTGTGCACTCGACATGAGGGAACAAATGTGTTGTGGCACAGAAAAAACTAACCTAATCAGTATTTTTTCTCTATTTTACCAAACTTGTTTTTAATAGCAAGCAACTTTCATTTTTTAGCAAGCTTTCCAAAAATCAGCCAACCCTAGCAAGTCATTTTGGCATGGTTGAAGATGTTAAAGCATTTAAAAAGATTAACGGTAAACTTTACAATCTAATACGGAGTATATAATTTTCAAAATTTTAAAAACTGAATGTTTATATTGTCATTAAACGTATAGTTATAAACTTACTTTAGAATAAGGAATATAATATTTTCTTCGTCCCATATAAAAAGTCCACTTTGTCTAAATAAATACTTTAATAAGTCTTTAAAAGTGAAAATTACATGACTAAAATTCATTTGAAAGAAAAACTTAATGATGGCCATATATTTATTTTGAAATGGATGAAAAAAGATGTGATTTTATTTTTTAAAGTAGAATATAACACACCATATAATACAATTAAGGGAAAAAAATTTGACAACTTAAGATAAGAGTACTATTTATTCTCTCAAAAATAGGGAGTCCTAGATAAGGTGTTTATTAAGATTAGAGGGAGTGATTAATAAATACAAGATAGCTCTCTAAATACAATACTTTGTATTCAGTAACTTTAAACAACATAGATGTTTTCCTCAAAAAGAAAACATGGACGGAACCATTTTATTGATGTAATCCCTCCTATCATAGTTAACTGTCTATTACGACTTTTGAGATACATCGAAAATTAGATTACTTCAACTCTTAATGACTTCCTCCGTTTCAAATTAATCATCATATCTTTATATCCTTTTTGAGCGGTCCAAATTAATCGTTATGTTTCCTTTTCTTGAAAAGCTTTTTGTAACTCCTCTTTTTTTCTCTCATCTGCATCAATTATTCATTTTCAATCACATAACTATACTTTTTTTTAAATTCAGTACAAAATGAAACTAAGAAGATTAATTTTGGACAAGAGGAGTATCTCAAAAGTCATACTCCTTTCGTCCCATTTAAATCTTTACGTACATTATTCATCGGGTCAAACTTTAAATACTTTGTTTCCTTATTTTTGTTACTCATTTGATAGCTTAATATAATCATGCCACTTTCAGTTTTGCAGGTCTTTTGATGTAATTTTTTAATGTACAATTTTTATTTTTAAATTTTGTACATACAATCGAAGAAATTGAATTCTGGAAAGAAAAAAATGGGAGGAAGTACTCCCTCCGTCCTAAAACTTTCTTCCCAGAGCACTATTCAAACTTCACAGGAATTTATATTTATTTGTGTTTTTTCATGACATATATGATAAAATAAAATATTTTTGTCACCACTTATTTTGTTGAACTTTTGATGTAGTTTTAAAATATGTATGTTTTATTTTTTATTTCTATACCAATATTTAAATAAAATAGATTGAAAAAACTTAGGATTTTTCTTCGTTTTGCGCAACGAGAAAAAAGTTTTAGGATGAAGTAGTAATAAAGGGTTAAATGTGAATTATATACGGAGTAGATGCTATTATTTGGTTAATTTATAGTCTTTCTTTATTTGGTCTCACAGAACGCTCTTTATTTGTGCTACATGGCATGCGCCCAGTGGCTGCTCTGCTTTCTCGGTGGGTCCCATTTTCTTCTTCCCCCAATTTGATATGACGTGGCACTATCACAATCGAATCAGCTACTCCGATGATTCGTTTACACTTTGACAAAAAAATATATACGGGCCCAATGCCACTCTGTCTAAACCCCAATAAAATACTCTCTGTCCCCTTTGTCTAAAGCCCAATAATACTCTTTGTGTAAAGCCCAATCATCAAGAAAACATATCTGTGCTTTTGTTCCAAAGTTATAGTCTAGTTCGAGTTTTTTGACAACAAATTGTAAAAGAATAATTTCAATGTGAAGCGATAGGGTTAATTTAATATGTAATTTGAAAATTTCATGATTTTTTTATGTGGTCAAAGTGATCGTAAGTGTCAAGCTAAAACGATAATTTTAGAATGAAGTAAAATATTTGGTACATGATATTGATAGATAAACTTGCAAAATTGAAATACATGATATTTACAAATTCATCAAAAAATAACAAGTGCACTTTTCTAGTCTTTTGTGATCTAAATTTTTTGAAAAACATTTCAACCTACTTAAATCTTCACACACACACACACACACACACATATATATTTCTCTACGTTAAAATGCAAAAATGTAATAGAGGGTTATTGTTGGACGAGAACTGGGGAGAGACAAGTGTCAAGGTTAAAGTTGGAGTACATGAAAGCTGTCCTAAGGCAAGACGTGGGCTACTTTGACATGCTTGAGACGACAACCACATCCCATGTTACCGATGTTGTTTCGAGCGACAGTTTTCTCGTCATCCATGACGTCATCAGTGAAAAGGTCAGTGTTCTCTTTCTCTGTTAAGATTTAGAGCTTCCCTTTGTTTATTTGGTATATGAAATGGATGAATGAACGCAACAGGTTCCGGCGTTTGTGGCCAACATATCCACATTTCTCGGGGCGTATTTGATTTCATTCGTGATGCTATGGAGGCTGGCCGCCGTCGCGCTTCCGTCGGTTTTGCTTCTGGTGATTCCGGGGTTGATGTACGGCAGAACGCTGGCGGCCATAGCTAAAGAGATGAGGGGAGAGTACAGCAAGGCGGACAGCATTGTCCGACAGGCAGTTTCTTCCATTCGGACGATTTACTCTTTCGTGGGTGAAAGCAAGACCGTGGAGAAGTATGCGGCAGCTCTCCGAGGGACGGTGAAGCTCGGTCGGAGACAAGGTCTGGCGAAAGGTGTGGCCGTTGGGAGTAACGGCGTGGTTTATGCCATCTGGTCTTACATGTCCTTTTATGGCAGCAGATTGGTCATGCACCACCATGTCCCCGGAGGCACTGTCTTTGCTGTTGGTGCCGCAGTCACCACCGGTGGATTGTAATCACCTCTGCCTTTCTTTAAATAAAAAAAGAAAAAAATTGCGTGGTACCATATAATAATATCGTTGAAACTAACGCAGCGTTCATTTCCCACATTCTACAGGGCGTTTGGATCTTGTCTGTCAAATGTGAAGTACTTCTCGGAAGCAAGCGCGGCATGTGAACGGATGATGGAGGTTATAGAGAGAGTGCCAAAGATTGATCCAGACAACACAGACGGTCATATAATAGGGCATGTCTTGGGGGAAGTTGAATTTAAACACGTCGAGTTTGCCTATCCATCTAGACCCGAAACCATAGTTTTGAAGAACTTCAACCTGAGAATCCCTGCGGGAAAGAAAGTGGCACTGGTGGGAGGGAGCGGGTCAGGGAAGTCCACAACGGTGGCGCTGTTACAGAGGTTTTATGATCCAGTTAGTGGTGAAGTTCTTCTCGATGGCATCGCCATTGATAGGTTGCATCTGAATTGGCTGAGGTCCCAAATGGGAGTGGTGAGCCAAGAGCCTGCCTTGTTTGCCACTTCAATTAAAGAAAATATAATCTTTGGGAAGGAGGACGCGACCATGGAAGAAATCATTGAGGCTTCCAAAGCTGCCAATGCTCATGGCTTCATCTCTCAGTTACATAACGGCTATGATACCCAGGTAAAATTAAAACATATACTAGTCTCAAGACTCTGTGTTTGCTTATATCATTATGCCTCACCAGTACGTTCGTTCTGCTTGACAGGTAGGCGAAAGAGGGGTGCAAATGTCAGGTGGGCAGAAGCAGAGGGTGGCAATCGCAAGAGCCATAATCAGAACACCAAAAATTTTCCTTCTTGATGAGGCCACTAGTGCACTTGACACAGAATCGGAACGATCGGTGCAAGAAGCTTTGGACAGAGCTGCATCTGGTCGCACCACAATAACAATAGCCCACCGTCTGTCCACCATCCGAAATGCAGACATTATCGCGGTTGTACAGAATGGCCAGGTTAAGGAGATTGGTTCACATGGGGATCTCATCAAAGATGAGAATGGCATCTACACCTCTCTTGTTCGCCAACAAATGCCAACCTCTCAAACCCTTATGGGCATTCATGTCAATGACAATGCCATCAGGCATTCAGTAGCTTCTGTTGCGCTTCCATTACCAAACACAAGTATTGATTCACAGCATAGTTCTTTGGCATCCGGTGAAAAAAGCATTCGTGCCCCATCGTTTGTAAGGCTTCTCGCATTGAATTTGCCCGAATGGAAGCAAGCAACACTGGGATCGGTTGGGGCAATGTTATTTGGGGCGGTTCAACCCACGTATGGATTCGTGTTGGGGTCAATGTTATCAGTTTTTTTCCTGCCAACCCATGCTGAGATAAAGGAAAAGATAAGAATCTACTCCCTATGCTTTTTAGGCTTATCTGTTCTGGCTATTTTCCTTAGCACAGTTCAGCATTACAATTTAGCAATCATGGGAGAGCACTTGACTAGAAGGATCAGAGTGAAACTCTTGTCCAAGATTCTTACCTTTGAAATTGGGTGGTACGATCGAGACGAGAACTCTGTTGGCGCGGTTTGCTCCAGACTTGCTACCGATGCTAACATGGTATGTTTAAATATATGTAAATTTCATAGTCATTGCCTGAAAAGGAAAGTGCAGAAGCCAAAAGTTCTTTCATGAAACAGATGTAGTACTGTATTATTTTTATGGAAACATAAACAATGACTTGGAGGAGAATTAATCAAAGGGAACAAACTCTTCATTGTAATTCAACAGGTGAGATCTCTGGTCGGTGATCGAATGGCTCTACTTATTCAAGCAGGCTCATCAGTAGCAGTATCTTGGACACTGAGCCTTGTCATTGCATGGAAGCTTGCATTGGTGATGATGGCAACAAAACCCATCCTCATACTGGGATTCTACTACAAGCGTGTTTTCCTGAAGAACATGTCCAAGAAAGCCGCGAAAGCACAAGCAGAAAGCAGCAGAGTGGCTGTAGAAGCCATCGCCAACCTTCGAACTGTGACAACGTTCTCCTCCTGCACCAGAATCCTCCAAATGCTCAAGAAAGCACAAGAAGGCGCAGCAAAAGAGAGTGCTCGACAATCCTGGTTTTCCGGCTTCGTGCTCGCCACGTCCAGCAGTCTCATAACATTCAATGTGGCTTTGTCTTGGTGGTACGGCGGGAAACTGGTGGACCGTGGGGACATTGCCGTGAAATCTCTGTTCCAGACGTTCTTCATATTGGTGACCACGAGTCGTGTCATAGCAGAAGCTGCAACCATGACAAGTGATCTAGCCAAGGGGGGAAACGCAGTCGGATCCATTTTTGCAGTCTTGGATCGGGAAAGCATTATACATCCGGATGACCCGAGCGGCTTCAACCCGATCGAGAATTTGGCAGGGAATGTGGAGATCCGAGATGTTCATTTTGCATACCCTGAAAGACCTAATGCCTTCGTCTTCAGAGGCTTCTCCATAGAGATCGAAGCCGGAAAATCAACCGCATTAGTTGGCCCGAGCGGGTCAGGGAAATCGACGGTGATTGCCCTAATCCAGAGATTCTACGATCCGATTAAGGGTTCGGTGAAAATCGACGGCCGAGATGTAAAGTCCTACAACCTGCGATCTCTAAGGAAGCACATCGCGCTGGTGAGCCAAGAGCCGGCGCTGTTCGCCGGAACAGTGCGGGAGAACATCATATACGGCGGAGGAGGAGCCGACGTCAGCGAGGCGGAAGTCGTGGAGGCGGCGAAGGCGGCCAACGCGCACGATTTCATACAAGCCTTGGAGGACGGGTACGACACGTGGTGCGGGGAGCGGGGAACGCAGCTGTCCGGCGGCCAAAAGCAGCGCGTGGCGATCGCTAGAGCGGTTCTGAAGAGGCCGTCGGTGTTGCTGTTGGACGAAGCGACGAGCGCGTTGGACAGTGGATGCGAGAGGGCGGTGCAAGAAGCGTTGGAGAGGATCATGGTCGGGCGGACGACGGTGGTTGTGGCCCACAGGTTGAGCACCGTACGGAACTGTGACGCCATTGCAGTCCTGGATAAAGGACGGGTGGTGGAGGAAGGGACCCACTCCTCCTTGATGGCTAATTCCTCTCGTGGGAGTCGTGGGGTTTACTATTCTTTATTTACTCTTCAAAATTGCGCCTCTAAATAACTCTAAACTAATGTTTCGTTCAAGGAATTTGAAAGGGAAAAGAAAAGAAAATGGATTGAAAAACCGTTTTTCTTGTTTGATTAGATGGAAAAATGGAAGAAATTAAAAAGAAAATGAGAAGGCAAAATGTACCAAGTGGAGAGAAAACCAAATTCCTTCCATTTTGGCGAGGAAAATGAGAGAAAATCATTTTCTTTTCTTTTCCTTCCAAATTCCTTGAACCAAACATAGTGTAAGTGATCCAAAAGAAAATGTCAAATCCATTGATTTTAGAGTCAAATTCTAACAGTAATAGCTTCTTGTGTGCATTCGCATGAAACGACCTCTATAAAGATTAGATTGAAATTATACAATGATTTATCCTCATTATAATCTTGTTGGATCCGGGGTGGGCGTTCCACTCTAAAATAATGAGATAACCAGAAAAGTGCATAGTATTGTTGGACCCGGGGTGGGCATTTCTGTATAAATATTTCTCGTTATATTGTTCTTCAATTTTAATCGAGATTGCAGCTTAAGCAACCAAAATATGGATGAAGTTTATTTTCTTCACCTCTTTAAGCTGAAAATAGCTATTTCCTCTGGTGGTGGGATTTGGAATTCTTTATTTACTATTCAAAACTACACCACTAATATATTGATGTTTTGATTTTATAGATTTTTAAAAAGTTGTTTTTAAATTAAAACGTACAACGTATATTGATATTTGTAGAGAAGCAAAAAAATGAGACACATGTTTCATTCCATAAATGAAAAAATAGAAAATTTGAGCTTTATTTTGCCCAAATGAAAAGGAAAAATACTCCCCCCCTCGGGCCCTCCCGTCTAAAAATTATCTTCATGTTACATGTTACGATGTTTGACCGGGGGAAACATGAAGTTTCAAATTTTCATACTCCCTACGTTCCTAAATAGATTACAAATTTTTTTTTCTCTCTTCTCGATAACTTTTGTCTGTTTACGCGATTTCATTACGTATTTGATAAAATAAAATATTCTTGTCACCTCTTGTTTTGTAGAACTTTTGACGTAGTTTTTTAAAATGTAATTTTTATATCTTATTGATATACCAATTTATAAATAAAATGATTTTAAAAAGTAAGAAATTTTATGCCGTAACCCGCAATTTGTAATCAAATTGGGGACGGAGGGAGTATTAAGGAGCTAGTGTAAAATACTAACAAGTCCTTCAAATGAATTTATGTTCATTGATGCTACCAGTTAAAACATGTTATCTAGAAGATATTGTGGATAATTCACCATAACTTGTTTACTACATACGGAGTATGAGAAGTTGACAACTACTTCAAAAAGTGGACAACTAAATCAAAACATAGAAAGTGCATGCAGTCATGTGTAATGACAACTTTATCCCGAGGAACTTTGGAGCCTGACATTTGACAATGTATTTGCTGTTTTTCCCCCTTCCTTTTCCACCTCTACATAGTAACCAGACACTGGTATTGGAAGAAGCACTGGCAGATACAGAGATTCACTAGTCGAAGTAGCCGTCATCAAGAAGCTGAGGAAATTCCAACTGCATTTCCCTGTCGCGAGCCAACATGTTCTCCACAAACGAATCCTCGTTCGCGAAAGTTTGCCCATTATTATCCTCGCACTTCTCTGGCAAATCATCATTTGTGTCGTCTTCCTGTCTCTGCACCTCTGTCTCGGGATCTTGAAGTATAAACTCATTCCATGGTGCCAAGGAAGAAGATGATGAAGAAGAAGAAGAAATGGGTGCTGGGAATTGCTCATATGGAGAAGGAGAATGAAAAGGTGTGAAATTGCCATCATCAGGTTGAATGGACAGAGGGTAAAGTTGGAATTGTGCATTCATTTCCGGGCCAACAAAATAAGTGTGCTGGTTTGAAACATCTGTGGGTTCTGATGGGTCGAAAAGGGACTCGGTTTTTATTGCGGGAGTGTTGTTGAGCAAAGGGAGGCCGCTACTCAGTCGCCCGAATTCTGCAAATACCTGAGCAAAGGGCTTATGAGTCAAGGGGTCGATTCCCATGTTCTTGAGCTTCTTCTTCAGCTTTGTGTTCCAGTAGTTCTTGACATCATTGTCCGTTCTCCCGGGTAGATGCCTTGCTATTAAAGACCACCTGATCATGAAATGGAAAAGCCAAATGAAAATTTTGGTGTTATTACGTCATTTTAGCGTATAAATCATAACGGATCCAATGGAAAATGATCCGTTGCCTGCGCAATTTGAGGACAAAAACTCAAAATGCCACCAGTTTCATGGTGTGCACATCACAATCATCACATGTACTAAAAATTGTTTTTTGAAAATTTTATTGTTATAGTAGAATAAAATATTGCAAACATAAAAATCACATCTTTAGTGAGTCTACTAGGGATACAATTTCACCAAAAATCCTCGAATTGGACAACAAAGAATTATGCGAGGACATTTTGGGCACGGCTAAAAGATGCATGGCCAAATATGCAATTTTATGCTAAGAAACAACTTAGCATAAAATTCATAGCTTTGAATCTTACCTGCTTCCAACAGTTTTGTGAAGCTCGATAATGGATGCCTCTTCTTCGGGGGTGAAACTGTCATGTTTGAGATCAGGGCGCAGATAGTTTGTGTAACGGAGCCTGCAGCTTTTCCCACACCTGTTGAGTCCTTCACAAACTCATCCAGCATAAACCATTCAGAGTTTTCATAGAATAATACGACTCCGTAGACAATAATAAGAAACCATTCCCGCATCGTGCCCAAAAAAGATGAAGAGACGAAGAACAGAATACCTGCTTTCTGAGGGACCAAAGTCCAATTACCAGTCCCATGGCTTGCAACATAGGCAAGAATCTTTGCATCTTCCTCGGGAGTCCATGACCCTTTTTTCACGTTTGCTTTGTCACAACAAGGTGGCCTCCCCATCATCTCCACACAAAATAACAAACAAAGATCCAGAAATGGATCACAAGAGAGAGAGAGAGAGAGATTGGAGCAATGGTGATGCAACCTCTTTCTTCTTCACAGGTCTTGAGAGTACAATTAAAGAAGGGATGTATAAACTGGGAGAAAGGAGCATGGAATGCATGTAACTTGGCTCCCAAATTAACAACAATTGCATGATTCTTTCATAGCCTCAAAAAAACCACTTGACATGAAAAAATATTGCATGTTCTCTCTCTCTCACACTCTCTCTATCTCTCTCTAACACACACAAAGAGAGAATAATGTATTTCAGGTGCAGAATGAGTGAACTATTTGGTTAAACATCCATATAACCCATTATAACAGCCACTGAATATCACCCTCTTCCAACTGTTAATAAAATATTGAACTTCACATCATATTAAAATCTTTACACACCCCAAGAGAGTTTCAATAGCTAATTTGCTTACTATCATGCACTTCTCAGCCAAGAGTAATTCTTTCTCAATATCCTGTCTAATACAAAGTACATCAACTATACAAACTGATATGCTGTGTTTCTGGGGTGGGGGGGTTCTTGAAGATAAATAAGGAACAGAAATGGCCGAGACCACTATATTTTTATGAACATACTTTGCAGCTTTTCCTACACTTTCCTAGAGAGTGTTTGGACCCCACCATGTAGAGAGGATTTTTGTCACATTCGCCAGCAACAGACCAGGCATAGCAGTTTTCATGATGATCCGCGCATCCGCTGACTGGTGAATCAAAAGACCTCACATGAATCCATTTCGTTGCAGACCACTTCTCACCTTCAAGTACAGGGCAACTTCCATGTAAGCTCAGAGGGTCAGTAGTTGCATTCGGATGTAGACTGAAAAACAACAATGCATCACCCTTATATGGTTTCACTGCAACCAGAGAAGAAAAAAAGATGCAGATTAGCCTCCTTTTAGTAGCCTTCTTTGGATCTAAAAGAGTCATTTTGACCACCCATACCCAACGGAGTTGGGATTATACTGGGTTATTGTTGTGAATATATTTCTTTGGCTTATTCAGCTTGTTTTTCGTATACATCTTACCAAACAGGCCCTTACATATATAACAGAATACGTGATAAAGATGATTCTCTGACTTGCTACTTTGGCTGAAATGGATGCTACCTAACTCTTCCCTTTTAGTGAATTCAACCATTTCAGCCAAATGAACTTAAAGAACATGGGCTTAGTATATAAAAATGTGCATTTACCTGCATAGCCATTAATAGCACATTCGGACCAGTCATCGCCCTTCACCTGAGTGTCTTTTAGCTGTGGGTAAAAAGACAATTATGTTATAATCTAGTATCGTAAACTAAACTAGAATAAGGCAAAACAAAAACTAGCACGCACCTCCGAATTAGGGAATATTGTTTCCCCGCCTTTCTCAACAGAAGATAAGTACATAAGAACAGTTGCCACACGATGACCGCCTAATTCTAGATTGACCTTGTCATGAAAATAATCAAAATGTGGCTCGTATTTTTGCCCATGTTCATATCGCAGTACTTGCATAGATTCTCCATTCTCTAAATGTCAAAGTCAAACAGACACAGATTTTTTATAAGGTTTTGGGTTAGACTAACCAATCTACTACAAATCATTAAGGGCCCGTTTGGTAAGAGAAGCATTGTTGATTTGATATGAATTTGAAACTGGAATAAATGATATGGTTTCTAAAATCTGAAATAAAAGTGTTTGGAGACATCTGGAATCTGATATGGTTGTTGGCGCAGATTGATATCTCCCAAAATCAGGCCATATCAAAACACTTCATTTGAGGGAGATATCAAATTGGAACCCTGATTAGGCCCTAGAAAACATATCTCATACGCTCACCAAATGGGCCCTTAGTCTGCTTCGACTCATATACATTATGATCCAGCTGAGAGGCCCCAACCCAATCATGAATTAAATCACTTCGCTTAGTATTAAAATAGGGAGGGAAAAATAAATGTGCTGACTAAATTACCCGGAGGTAAGAAAGTCCATGCCGCTATCCTGGCTTCAATAGCAGCAACAACTTCGTCCTGCAAAGAATGATGCACTTTATTTTTCATCTTAAAATTTGTTAGTTGTTTATGTTTAGGATTCTACATTGAAATCGAAACAGATTTAAACACCAAGTAAAAAAGCCTATAGGAAGTAAAACAACATAAAAACTACCACAAACTTGATTTCCCATTATTGTCTCTTTCAACTATTCATTCATGTTGTCAACTTAACTCTTTTTTAATTTCTCTAGAAAATTTTGATCATATTGAAATTTGGTTTTTGTGATTTAATACCACTTTTAGTATAGCTTTCAAATTGGTGAATTTTAATTAGTAATACTAAATCATATTTTATTGGAAGAGTATTGCAATTAACTTCAACCAAACCTCGTGATCGTAATCAATTCTACTTCAAATGGAGATGGAATTTAGTTTCACAAACCTGGGCTTTTGAAAGAAACATGCCAGAACTAGTCCGAACTTCACTCTCTACGCTCTTTCCAGATTCATTGTCAGCAACCATGGACTTCTCCAGCTTATCCTTGGCCTATTCATCAGAATTGCAAACATTTATTTCCGGCTTTTCGTTCCCATCGATGAGATTCTTTTTTACTAAACACTAAAATATTACTCCCTCCATCCCTAAAAGAATGCCATGGGTAAACTTCCACAGACTTTTTTTAAAAAAAGCAAATTGTATGGTGGAGATTTAGCAGAAGCTAGAGAAATAATGTGAACTGTGAGACATTTTATTTTGGAACAGCTAAAAGAGGAAAACATGACATTCTTTTAGGGAGAGGGAGTGGATTGTCATCGAAATCCCATTCGTGGGATTTTATTGGCTGCTAGTTAAATTGGGTTAAGCTCTGACATTGAATGCCAAGTATTTTTTAGGTAAGCCTATTTTGTTGTTAATTTTTTTACTTTGCCCCTTTGTTATTGACTTATTGCTGTGGTTCATAATGTAGGATCTTAATGCCTTTTCTTTATAAAAACTTGTATGAGAGCTTAATTTGGGTACATTAGTAAAAAGACCGGACGGAGGGAGTATCTATGCATTAAACATTGCATTTTTTTTACAAAAACTCCCAAAGACTAACCAGAGCAATGAGATGATCACACTCCTCGTATGTCAAGAACCCTTTATATAAGAAAGCCCTGTACAATTCCATTCATCAGCAGATCCATATACTCAGCAAAGTTAAACAAAATGCATTTCCAGATGAAAAAGAAAAAAGAAAATTGAAAATCGATGGGCCACCTGGGGTGCCAAGAGATTGGGGTAACCCGGGTCGGATCAATGAAAGTCGCCGGAGCTCCGGTCACCAGTCGCAGCACCGACTCTTTCCTGTACACGGAAAAAAGCGCAAAATCAGCCATAGATTGGTGTACATTCTTCAAGAAATCCGTACACAATGGTCGCGGAAAGATACGTTTTTGCAGCTCCGCGCCATCTGGAGGACTGAAGAGAGGGATCGGGAAAGATGGAAAAAAGAACAAGGGAAAGAATCACGAGACGACGCCGACAATCCATACGGCGGTGCTTCGTTCCGAAACAGATCCTTGGTTCTTCAGTTGTGGAAAAAAAAAATAGAAGAAAGAACAGAAAATCAGCAACGGGGCTTCGCTAATGCTGTGTATCCGAATAACTGATGAAGAACAAATTCAACTGGTCAAAGGTCGACTTGGACAAACTTGTCTGTTTAAAATTTTTAATAAACCAAAATGTTAAACTCACAAAAAAGTAGTTCACAAACTTGTCTTTTGTAAATTTTAAATTAAATTTTTTTATTGTTTGAAAGTACCTTATTTCTAGTAAAATATTAAAAAGACAAGTTTACAAATTTTGTAAATTATTTATTTGTGACTCTAGTGTTACTCTTTAATAAATGGAGTACACAAAGTTTGTCTTCAAAATTTTTATACTCACTGTGTTCCTTATTCTTTTACCTGAACTTTTAGAAACTTTAATGTAACATTTTGATTACTAAACATAGATTAAATATATAATATTTCAAAATTAAAATTAATATATTAACATTAAATTATTCCGTAATTAAATGCATTTTTCCATAACATGTGTTAAAAATTTAAAAATGTTGATCAAAAAAATAAAATGAGAAAAAAGAATATAGGATTAAAGAAATACATAAATTTGAGACACCATTTTTTAAGAATTTGACAAATGACATATCTATGTGTGATTAATTTTTGCACGTAAGATATTATGTGTAGTTACTACTTACTATGTAGAAAGTAGTGGTCAAAGTATTGAAATCTTACTAATCAATCTGTCATTAGAAAGTATTGGAATCTTGAATAAAGAATGAGAGAAAAAATTAATTTATACGGAGTACTAATTTTTTTGGTGAGGTAAATGGAGGAAGTATTTAATAAAGAATGAAAGAAGAAATTAGTTTTATTTTATTTTTTTTAGTTTTATGTACATTAAATTTTAATAATGAAAATATATTGAAAATGTATTTAAAAAATGACAAAAAATAATGGCTTGACACTCTATGTCATGCTACTTCACTCACTTGCCACACGTTGATTCGACTTTTTTATTATTATTTGAGATCTTCCACTACATCATGACATCATGTAGCTTTTTTTTTCTTTCTCGCCATTTGAGACTCTTATACAAAGTGGGATTTCTTTTTTCCGTGCGCCACTGGATTTTGATTTTAGCATCGCCCATAGCAAAACTAAAACTTTCAATGATCCTTCTTTCTTCTGCAATTAATTTATTGTTTTAATCTTTTCTTTTATTTTTGTTGAGGAAATTGTTTTGATGGAGTATTTTTCAACTTTCTTTTTTATAAACGTTTCGAAATAATTATTTTTATTCATTTGAAGAATAACAATTTTTTCCCCAGAAATTTTAACCATATAATCTCAACACCTCGAAACCATTGTGTAAAAAGTATAAGGACAATTCTCATGACATTACCTAGCAATGTCATTAGATGACTCGGCAATGCCGCGGTGACCCGGTACTGCTCCAGTGCTCCGTAAACCCTCACCCAGTCCTGACACAAACACACTTCCCCACCCCCCTTTAATTGCACCCCATAAGTTAATTTTGAAGGATGTAAGGGGTGTGTTTGGATCGGGTCAAGGTGGGGGATTTACCGATAGAGATTATGTGTATGGGTAGGAGTCGTCAATTTTACGAATAAGGCATGAGAACGACATCAGGTCATCTCATGGCATGAGTTCCAATATCACGAGAACCCTACCGAAAAGTAAATGCCAAAAAATAAGTGAAACAAAAGTTGGAAGGGGGCATAGTTGGTCATTGTGGAATGGGAGTGCCATATTCTCAATAAATAAATTCAAAAATCGCACTGTCGTCTAATGTTGGACACTTGCAGTTGACAATATGTGGTACGTACAAGGTAATGGGCTGGGCCTAAACTCGCTGGGTGCCTGGGTAACTGAAGAGTACGTTTGACCCATAAATATGAAAACAACTTTTTTTTTTTTTGTTTTTTATATTCTTATTAAAATCAGATTAAATCATACTAGATCAGATCTAATCAGATGAGATCAGATCAGATCTAATCACATCAAATCTAATCAGATCAGATGATATCAGATCAGATCCAATCAAATCAGACCAGATCAGATTACATCCAATCAAGAATTATTATTATTATTATTAGAAATTATAATTATCATCATCATCATTATCTTTATCGTTATTACAAGTTTTTTCTAATTCTACTTTTAAAATACATTTTTTTTGCCACCTGTAATTTGAGTTTCTAAAGTTATTACATTATAAAATATAAACGAAAAAATATTATTACATTATATAATTACATTATAATATGAATAATTATTCTAATATATGAATTAACTAATTTTATTTCATTAAAAATGATCATAAAATAAAAAATATTGATTATATTATAATATGAATTATCATTACAATTTTCAAAAGTTATTATAAAGTTAGATCAAATTATTTATTTGAATTTTAAATCAAATCATAATCAATCAGATCAGATCAGATCAGATTCAATTATATCATATCAGATCCAATCAGATTAGATCAGAACTACAAAAAATCATATCAGATCATAAAAAATAAGTTGAACGGAACGGAGCCCTTGAATGCTCGTTTTTGAGAAAAGAATGCCCGTACTCAACATTTTTATTTCTTCAAATAAAACATTATGTATTACTACACATTAACTATCACATACGACCTCTATCTCGGTATATTTGTTTAGTTTAAGTTTTTTGGGGCCATACTAGATAAATTTTAAACCATAGTTAAATAAAAACAATAATGTAAATCAGTATAAAAATGATTTCATTAGAGTTATCTAGTATAAAACTTTCAAAACTTTATTTTATTGTATTAATATGCAAAATAAATTTAGACTAAGTGATGATTAAAATTTATTTATTTTGACTCAAAAAACTTAAATTAGACAAATATATTAAGAACGAGAGAGTAATATTTCTTACAAATTTACGGCAGAACTTTCTCTCTCTAGCTATGGCGAGGAGAAGGGGACGGCCAAAAAGGAACAATCCGAGCAACAGTGGGAATGGATTTCAAACGCCTGGATCAGCACAAGGGAGTGCTTCGAATGCGAAATCTACGGGAGGAAAGGACATTCCGGACGCTATTGTACCTGATATGAAGGAGATGAACCCTAATTTGGAGGAAAGTGAGACTCCGATCCAGAAATCATATGCGAGTGTTGTTGGCAATCAAGAAGATGACCAGAAATTATGCTATATACCAGCTACTGAGGTAAATGGGAATTTTGTGGCTAAACTTACGAAGGATGATGTTATTGATACTGCAACATATTGGGATGCTACTGTAACGCCACAAAATATGGCCTAAAATTTATTATAAAACAAAAGTAGTTTTTTATCCAATAAGGAATATTTGTACGTTTGACTAAAAATAAATGGATATTCAAAATAATGACTTTTTGTTAAAAAGTTATATTTATGGATATGTCTCGAAGAGACGAATCCAACGGTACATTTTATAAACCAATCTAATTTGTAGATTTCAAGTTATGTCAATTTTAAATAGTAAAAATTTGTAACTTTGACCCATACAATAAACTCAATCCAAAGGTGATTTAATAAGATTATAAATCATAATTTTGACACTTGACAACACCATATTTATCATTTGGATTTAATCCATATATTTATATCTCAATCATATTATAAAATTAATTTATGACAGAGACAGACCCAAACATTAAGAAAAATAAAACTTATCGGAAAAATATTTTGATTACGTCAAAATTCTAGTTTTGACAGTCTCATTCCAAAAACACAATTCGTTTTCAATTCGGAGTAGCTTGGGCGAAAAAGCGCGTACCGTTTGGAGTAAACTGTTCAGTTTTGGCTAAAAGTCAAAACTTAATTCTCCAATATCTCCCCAAATCACGTAGCCAACCAAGGGATATCTCACAAGCCTATTTTTCAATCTCCTCCAACTCCATTAATACAAGCCTCCAAAATAATTATATAATACTCCACCACCATCTTCATCATTATACCTCATTATCATCTTCCACCACCACCACCATCATCATCTCATCTTTCCTCTCCCATTTTCTCTCTCTGTTGGTAGTCCAAGAAGGAGGAAAAACCAGCTCTAACTCCATTGTTGAGCCAAGAAAGGAGAAGGAGAAACAAGAAGAAGTATCAAGGTTTCCAAATCTTAAGCTCAAAAACGCAGCAGCCACTTTAAGGTAAAAACTGAAATTTTCCATCCATTATCTCGAAATACTTCTTGAACCAAAGTTGTAGCCCCGGACGATACGAATCCAGCCCAACAAACGGCTCGCGATTTCGTTAAGTAACGAAGAAGATATGGCCAAAATACCGGGACTGCGCCAGTGGTGGCGAGCTCCTCGGGTTGGCTATGTTTCCTC